AAAGGGGGGGGGGGGGGGGGGGGGCGGGGACACACACACACCCGCCGAACACACAAGAGGCAAGGAAAACAGGCAAGAGAAGCCAGCCTATCTTGTCTCTGGAGCGATGTTCGTTAATTGCCTCTATCGCATTGTAGGACAGACGAGGCCGCATGCTCATTTATCTTTCTCGACTTCGGCGTGCTATCTACTGGAGGAGAGACGGAGAGACATGTTGGTACTGATGTCGACGATGCCAATAATAATGATGCAAGTACACCACGGCAGGAGGTTGTTCGCGGCAGTTGGACCAGCACATTATGTACCGGCTCCAAGTTCGGAACGGTGTACGAAATGCAGGCAACAAATACAACGATATGAATCTTGTCAAGAGAGCCGGGGATGTTTAAACCTGACAGGGCTCAAAGGGCTTCTCCTGCAGTGGGTCATGTTCTTGAAGCGATTCGCACAATCTGACAACAACACGGACGAGAGAACCGACGAATAGCGGCATTCTCAGTCTCTGCGGTGTGTTTGCTTGCCTGCGCTTGAGGCTCTCCTGCTCGAGCCGCTCTTTGCGGTCTATCGTCGCCAGCACGCTCTCCACAAACACTCTTGAGCGGACGAACGCAAAAAACAGACAGACAGAGGGGCGGAAGTGCCGGGCGCCAGTGCAGCAACATCACCAGGTAGCAGCAGCAGCACCACCACCACCAGAAGAAAAACACATGGGAGGACAAGGCGAAAGGACGACGAGGGTCATGACACGACGACGGGACGCAACAAAAAATCACAACAGGCGGTGGGGACACAAACACACACGTGAGGGTCGAACGAGCCGCGCTCTCACCGTTTACTCCCCAACAAGGGGTAGACCGCTGGAACGGACTTGGGTGGGTAAGGGTTGCAGTGGAAAGGGGGGCGGTCAAGGCTAACAGCGGCAGCCACAGCGGCAGCAGTGCGAAAACTGGTCCACCGTCCAGAAAGCGGGAAGACATCATCAGCCAAGTTCCAGAAAAAACACATCAGAGAACCACCATGTGCCAAGGAGCTAGCTTGCTGCCGGCGGCAGCGAGCGCCCAGCATCGACGCCAATACTGAATGGCAGAAAAAACTAGACAATAAATCCGTTGGGAGCACCGGGTGCCGTGTATGGCTCCCGCCGCTTACGCACACATGGGCCTGTGAGTGCGGAGACACGACGGGGATGAAACGGGTGCTTCAACGCTATAAATAGCACGTCAAAATCGAGTATGAGTTGTTCATCCTCATGTGCAGCAGCCGCGGGCGAAGGGCCTGGACAAGGGGGCGACGCGAACAGAGAGACACACAGGGAGGGGCATCATCCCGACGAAAGTCGACCCGCTCCAGGCCTTTGGGAGGGCGCCGCTGACGACGAAATTAACAATTTCCTGCTCGAGTACGTCGTTGTCCTTGCTTGCTTGCGAGGAAACACTTGTTTGACCCTTGAGACACCCTTCCTGCCCTTCTTTCTGCCGCAGGAGTAGAGACGGTCGGCAATAAACTGGAGCGAATACATTCGCGTGTGTCCAGGCTCTCCAGCTGCTTACCGCCACCTGCTTCTTTGTCGTGCGCTCACTTACCCGAGCTTTTCCGTCTAGTCGAACACGGCTTGGGAATTGACTTGCCCATACGGCGAACCCACGCACAGGCAAAGGAGGCGGTTTTCTCAACGGTGACACACGAATTCCGCTACGACGAAGAGGCCACCCACCCTTACTGGTCGCAAACCAACGAGACATCTGTGCGACAGCAGTCGAAATCGAGACAAGCAACGCCATCACGAAAACAGGGTCACGGTTTTCTTCCCTTTCTCGAGGGGGGGAGGGGGGGGGGCAGAGTTATTCCCACCGATCAACCCACGTAGAAACAACATATTTGGCGCTCAGAAGAAGAACGGGGGCACCGTGCTGTCGCGAACGTATCGGGGGTGGTTGAAACCGCACTGAAGAGGACGAGGAGAGCTGCGGGTCAGCAACCAATGTAAGAAAAGGTCAGGCACGGAGAGGGGGGGTGGGGATGTTGGATGCCAGTTTCTAAATCGCCCCCGTCGTACCTCGCCCCCTTGTAGCTGTTCCCCTTGACAGCCAGCATGAAGTCCGCGGCGCGCTGCGTTTCCGGGAAAACGCACCCCGACATCGTAGATGGCGCGACGTGCGCAGTAGAGCCGCCCGCAAGCGTGAGAGTCGCAGCAGTTGGTCAGGCGGAGAAGTCATAAATTACGCGTCCCATCAGCACCGCATGGAAGATGAGACGGCCGTGGTCGCATACCAGGCACGCACACAGCCCGGTTGATGTAGCCACACCGCGCAAGCAGCACAGCGGCAGCGCGTGCGTTATTTTCCCAAGGCCGATAGAACCCCGTTTTTGTAGTTTTTTCGATGTTAACAAGTGGAGGTCCAAAAGCCCCGCAGGGTCGGGTCGGGTCGGGTCGGGTAGGGGTAGGGTTGAGGTGCCGGCAGCGCGGAAGACCAAGCGGGAAGCCATGACGATCCGGGACGGCAAGTCGTCATACGGGAACCCGCGGGACGGAGGTAGCAGCAGCAGCCAGGACCGCGCCGGGTTGTTTTCCCACGACATGCACAAAAAAAAAGAGATTCAAAACGGGCGAGAGACCAAGAAGCGATCCATGCGGAAAGGGTAGGAGGTTGCGAGCATCCATAAAGGACGAGCGCAGAAGGGACGGAGGGAGTCGGGGGGGGGGAGGGGTGAGCACCAAGAGGGGAGGGCATTCTTTTACCTGACCGTTGGGCGGCTGCGATGAGTGTTGAGAATGTGGCCAATCTGTGCTGAAGAGGGAGGGGGGGGCAACCCCCGTGGAATCGGGGGCAATTTCCGCGCTATCGCGCGCTTCATGTACCTGGCGATGATGGTATTCTCCCTTCAGCTAAACTGGCGGGACTGCTGCTGTGGTGGCATGTGATTGCCGATTTGGGGGGGCATTTGATCGAGTAGCGAATTCACCACACACTTGGTACGCATACAGTACTGTACACAGATGCAATCATCGTTTTTCAATGCATACAAACAACCAGAGGAGGCGAAGCCAGAACATGACTGCAAATACAGCAGGGCAATCCTTACGAAAGTGCGCAAATGGTGGGCAAACCTTCGGCTATTAGTTTGGGGGTTTCACGAGCTGGCACAACATGCAGAGCCAAGATAATTTTCTTTTGCCTTTCTTCGTCCCAACCTCCGTACACGTACGCAAAGCGGCATCAAAACTTGTACACACAAGGTGTGGGAAAACAGGAGACGCGGTATTCATGTATGCAGACCAGGTGGCAGCGCCGAACCAAGAGCGTCGTCACCGAGTGCTCACGTGAAAATTCAGAAACGTACGCGTCATTTTGTACGTGTCTGGGGCTCGCAAACGACACGCCTTATGGGTGTCGAGTAGGGCATAGGTACGTATATATGTTGGCGACTTCACAGCAGTAGCGGTACAAAAGGATTGAATGGACATTGTAGTCTTTTCAAGAAAATGTACTTGCTGGGCACTAGAAGAAAGACTATCCGCTATACGCAAAGAAAGGAAGCGTTGAAGTCTTCACACACGGCAGTGTTTTTTTTTTTTTTTTTGTCTTCACTTCAAATCAGCGCTCACAGCACTAGTGCCGTTTACTCACTCCAACCCGTGGGTTGGTTCCTGGGAACTGGGAACTAAAACGATTCCAGGTGTTTTACAAAGTACTTCGTATGCACAAAATACATGCATACGTGCATCAAGGATCTTTGTCGGTCAACACAACACATGAGAAAACAACGACCAAATACATACGCGACGCCGAGGCCCGGTCGCAATGTAAAAGAACCACCCACGAGCTTCTTCGATCTTTCGACGTGCGGAGGGAGGTGCGCGAGAGGGAGGGCGGCCGCTCACGCTCATTTAAAGTCTACGTTCTAGTGCACATTCTGCGCACCACCAAAACGCAGCCAAGCAACAGAGGGCACAGCTCGTATATTACTTGCTCTCACCTGGACGTCTAGGTTTTCGGCCGTCAGCACGAGACTCTTGGAAGCGGCAATGGCTGCCGCCGCCGCCGCCTCAGCCACCGACATGCCACCTGCCGCGGGCGTCACCGGGGCAGCAGTAGCAGCAGTAGCAGCAGTAGCACCCACGTCGGGTGACCACCTAGACTTGACGCCTGCTGCTGCTCCCGCAGCAGCAGGAGCAGCAGCAGGAGCAGCAGCAGCAGCAGCAGCGGGAGGATCTGCTGCTTTCGCCGCCTCATCTTCCACGCTAGATTTGTTGTCGTCGGTTTCAGGAGCAGTCTGTTCTGTCTGTTCTACGGAAGGGTCGGATGATGATGTCTTCTGCTGCTCGCCGTCGTCCGCGGCGGCTTCCTCGCCTGCCGCCGCAGCGTCGTCCGTGTCCATCGGATCGGCCGGCGCTGCCGCCGGAGGGGCTGCCGCTGGCGGCGGCGACGACGCGCCACCGCCATTGGCATCGACAGCAGATCCAGAAGCATCAGCAGCATCAGCAGCAGCAGCAGCGGGATGATCCTCTTCTCCTGCGGAAGATACCTCGTCACCGTCTGCAGCGGAAGCGGGCGGAGATAGCTCCGGGGCTGCTTCCCCCTCAGCAGGCGACCCGGGTCCTTCCTCCGCCGCTTCGGCAGGAGTCTCCTCTTCTTCGTCGCTGGCCTTGGAGTCAGTCTCTTCGTCGCCGGCGTCGGCGTCGGCTGCAGGAGGGGAAGATGGCGGCGGGGTGGTCGCACCGCCAAGCACGACTGAGGGGGAGGAGAAAGACGCGGCAGAAGGAGCGCCGTCCGCAGCCGGCGCCACCTGCTCGCTGCTGCCGCCGCCGTTCATCGTCCCCTCCTCCTCTTCTGCCTGGAGCTTCGGCGACTCCTCCATGGGCGAGCCGGGAGCGGCCGCGACGGCAGCGGCATCGGCGCCGGCGAAGGTTTCATCAGGTGAAGCAGCACCGTCGTCCTCTTCTTTCACCGAGGGAGCGGTTTGCGCCGCTGCCGGCTCGGGGTCACCCGCGCTAACAGCAGCAGCACCCGCTGCTGCGCTGCTGCCGCTGGCTTTTGCGGGGGAAGCTTTGCCGCGGCCCCGCGCGGCTCGCGTGGCGCGCTTCGCGCGGCCGGGCGTTGCCGCCGCCGCCGCCGCCGCGCCGCCCTCCTGATTTGCGCGCTTCGGCATCTTGCCCTGGCGAGCGGGAGGCTTGCCGACAGTGGGCATCTGCTGTGTTACTTTTCTGGTGTTCCGGCAGGGAGCGAGCTTTGATGGTCAGGTGGACGCCTCTTTCGCTGCTCAGAGCTGGAGGCCAAACACACGTGATTCCGTAAGCGGGTCGTGTCTGAAAGGAAAAACCGAGAAGCTGATGGAGGGTCGCCCGGATCGATGGCCGGATCGCTTCGTGTATGTGGGTGTCGTGCCATGGACCGCTCGAGCCGACCACCCACGATTTTCTTGACCGGAAAAAAAAAAATACCCCTACCGCCTACAATTAGATGGTGCCCATTTCATTTTGCGGAGCCCCTCACGATTCTATTGCCCCGCACTTCTGACTTGGTCACTGCGGCTTGGTGTGGGGTGGGGTGTGTGCGGCGGCCATGATTGATGGTGGGGACAGCGGGAGCGAGGGCGAGGAAGTGCTTGGGGTGGACTGGGCATCTCTCGAGACCAATCTGTCCGCGGAAACGCTGGAGAGTTTGCGACAGCACCTCCAACACCAGGTGAGTGAACACAGCAGGCAGAGCGCTTACCGCCGTGCATACACAGGCACCAACGCGCGGAGTGTCTGCTGTGTGTTGGACATGCACGACACGACCGCTGCATACACCCCGTAGACTTTAAAACTAGATGACGAAGGAGTACCTCTGTCGATCTATTTAGTCTATGTGGTTGGTCGTGTTCATTGCAGTGATTGGAAGGACAACCGTCAATGGAAACCGGCTTGCGTACCACCGCCACTCTCAAAGTTCAGTGCATATCTTACCCAGGTCGACTTTTGCTGCAGCAACGACGACGATGGCGGTGCCAAAAAATTGCCGGAGGCATTAGAACCGTCGCGCCGAAAGCTTTCCGCAATTGTATCATTTCATCCGTGGTATCCTCTTGTAGTTGTCAGGCTTTGGACATGTGAACAGGGGGGTGCGGTATTTTATGCATCTCTCGGCGGTAGCACACTCCTGTTGGCACACTCGTGGGTGTAGGTACAAACTTAGTACGGTAGCGACACGCAGGGTGGACATAGGTAGTTTGTAACAGACTCGAACCGTTATTGTGGCGATTTCCCACCTACCGCGAGACAGACCTCGTGTACTGGGGCCACTCTCTCAGAGGAACCTCCAATGTTCAGGTGAACCCACTACCGAGGTGCATGTTGACGCGACGTACTTAGCAGTCGTCGGCGCGAGCATACCTATAGGATAGTGAGCAGCAGGGGGCGGCGCTGATGTTGTAGGACAGTTTTACATGAGAGAGCCTATGTAGATCGTCGATCCTAACTACAGCGCAAGTCTCCAGCCCAGCCCGGCAGGCTATGGAGGTGTAAGGTGAATGGTATGCATAGGCGGTGCTACATGTGTGCTTTTACAGACCGACAACGCCGCCAACTCTCCTACGACCATCCTGTCCCTTCCGTGCTGCCTTTAGGATGGTGCGACCGTCGCAGCGCCCTCAGGCGCTGAAGAGCGAGCAGCGGAGGCAGAACCAGCGTCAGCACCGGATGGTAGTAGTAGTAGTGGCGGCGGTTGCACTAGCCCAAGGAAAGATGCGGGTTCTGCAGCACTGCCCTCGTCCAACTTGGTGTACAAGGCAAAGGAATACTGGGACAGCCGCTTCTCCGAGGAGGAGTCGTACGATGTGAGAGATCCCCAGGCCAACTCGAGTCCATTTGTGGGCCTAATGCACCCACACTGAAAGTAAGATAGAACAACCCGTGTTCACGCGCTTTGCTCACTGTAGCGAGTCGTTACTCCAAGTGAAAAAAGAAGGGTAATGCGAGTTATGCCGACATTGCCGGGGAAGTGCTTAACGGACATGAATACCCTTGGTTTGGCACATACGGTTTTGCTCTCGTTGGTGTTGCTGCCTCAAGCGTGACGTGCCTCTTTTCATGCGCACTCCTCGTGTGATTGATCTCTTTGCTTGGCGTGCGGGAAAGTGGCTAGCGAGCTACGCCGACATCGCGGAGTACTTGCATGAAGCGGTGCCGAGGGATGCCCGAATACTCATCGTTGGCTGTGGCAACAGTGGCCTCAGCGCGGACATGTATGATGACGGATACAGGCGAGTGTGTGTGTTATTCTATTTTTAGCATCGACCACGCCAACCGGCTGACCAATGAAGATACGTCAGTCCCTTTAATGTGTGTAGGTGTCGTCCCATTTTTTTAGGACGTTAGTCTTTTCATTACTTGTAATATTGTAGACGTCAAGTGACAAGAATAAGGCAAGCGATATATGAGTATCCCTCCCCCCAAATACGCTCTACAACACCCCCTGATACCTGCAGGGATATGCTCAGCACGGACTTCTCGGCGGTGGTGATAGACAAGATGCGGGCGAAGCACCTCGCGGCTCGCCCGGGGCTGCGGTGGGAGAAGATGGACATGCTCGCCCTGGCGGCAGAGGACGCGAGCTTTGACGCCGTCGTAGACAAGGTACAGTATGCTGCTGTATGAAATGACGAGGAAACTCGCGCCTCGCCAGATGCCGCGTGCGCGCACGTGCGGTGCGTCAGGTTTCACCGCTGTCGAAAAAGTTGGAAGAGCGCGCCCTTTTCTTGCTGCTATGCATAGGTGGTGGTCGTTTGTTTCGGATGAAGTAAATTATGATGTAGCGTTTCACTCGACGGGACCGTTACTGTACCGACCTCTGTCCTGCGTGCAGATTTAAATTCAACATCACCACTCTCCCATTTGTTCGGTCGTGATTCGACAGAAGCCCATCCTATTAATAGATGGTGTTCCGGTTTTTGAGTACAGGAGTAGACTGCTGTTATCACTGTCCAGATGGAAGAACCAAGGCATCCCCGTACCGATCCTGCCTCCCTCTCCTTTCGCGGAATCCCAGGCGGCAATGGACGCCTTAATGGTTGATAAGGGTGATCCTTGGAACCCGGACCCAGCCACAATCGAGCAATCCCACCGCATGTGCGCGGAGGTTTCCAGGGTGCTCGTGTCCGGAGGCGTTTTCGTACAGCTTTCGTTCGAGCAGGTCCACTTCCGGAGGAAGTTTCTTCTGGGCGAGCACCCCGCCGCTGCCGGTCATCTTGGCGCAAGACGGCAGGGCGGAGAGGAGGGGCACAGCGATGATGGGGAAGGGGGGGGTCCCTATGGCTGGGACTTGCAGGTGCACGACATCCAGAGAGAGGGCGGGTGTTTCGGGCAGTTCTTGTACCTCTTGAGGAAGCGATGAGGGCGGGGGCCGGCGAAAAACTGCGGGTTGTGTCTCTCGAAAGGACCACGAGTAACGACATGGTTTGGCGTGTAGACACTTAGGCGTGCCGGTTTAAAAACAATGGGAGACAGCGTTGCCAGGTGCGGTGGCGCTGCTGGTGCTGCTGTAGAAATTGCGTGCCGTCGTGATACGGCGGGGCACCGCAGCTTGCACGTGAAAGCGACCCCCGCCCGGTCTGTCGTTTAGGCCCGGAAAGCGAGTGCACAACGTGTTAGCGTATTGAGTGGATTCGCCTCTGTTTGATGGTAAGATTTGCCCCGCCGCAAGGCGCCGAGTCGAGCTTCGTACCGTACACGACACAAGATAACACACCCCGGTGCTATCTAGCAAATCCATTTTAAAAATGGAGTCACGGGGTGTGTTAATTAACCCTCCTAGTACTTAGTCTGCAAAACAAAATGCCGAAAAAATGTTTATCAGCCATTGGGCGAGGGGCTACAGTCCCTCCAAAGAATCTGAGCTCCTTGCCAGACAAAGGGCGACTTGGCTTCAGTATGACAAGTGTCCCCAAAACATGCTGAAGCCAAGTCAGCCAATTTATCCAGTACCAGGCGATGCACAGTTTTACGACCCAGGAGGCACGCGGGTTGGGAGATGTGTACAGCAAGTCAGAGGCCCAGGAGAGGCACCACACAGCATCATATCACACAGCGTACCACCTCAGCCAAGCATGATAGACCAAGGGTTCTCACGTGCGTTGCACAGAGCGGAGCCTATGGTGACTACAGTGCGGTAAATAGGCCTTTGAGTGCTGTGTCCCAAAGTGCCCCCATTTGGGCTTCCAGTACTAGGAGGGTTAATCTTGTGCCGTGTATGATACGGTATGCGGTAAGCCATGCAAGGACGCCCGGCGACGCGGTTTTGGCCAAGATTTTGTTTGACGCAGTATATAGTGTGAACAGGCCAGCCTTACGTGGGTTTCCCCCATTTCGGATTGCGCTCGGGGAGGAACAATACACAGAAATTGAGCGTGTCCGCGGCTCGTTCCCATATATATATATGCGTAACACCTTGACATGTGCTGGCAAAAATCGCGTAGTGTGTGATGCGGAGAAAGTCAAGTGAGTTGTGGATGCCGATTACAACGAATGTAGCATGAGTAGACATTTGGGGTGACGGGATTGACGTTTAGCTGAGGCGCAAGCACGAAGAATTATGTAGCAGGCCATCATAAGGGCAAGTACAGAGTCTGCCATGCAAACATTTATTGTTCCTGAGTGTTGCGTGCTGTTAAAAGGATTTCATTGGGTAAGCTTTGGCTCGAGAAAGACCAGGAGTGTTGGTCATGTGATACGCGTTACCGAACTCCAGGGTCTTGAATAATTGGAAGCGGTCCATTATTTTGATCGATTCAGGAGTGCCTTAGAGCTGGCGGTTTCGGCCATGGTCCTCCGTTTAACTGCTGCTGCTGTCGATGTGCCTCTCAGGATATGACGTACTTGTGGACACACACCGTTTTACCCCAAGTACCATGAGTTTGTTTCTCCATACATCAATTGCATGGTGGCTGATTTTCGAGAAACTGCTGAGAGGTGTGTTACAGCTACGTATACCAAGCGACGGAACGAATGTTGTGCATCTCGGTTCCACACGGAAATAGCGCGTCCACACGCCAGTTTCAAGTGAAAAGAGAAGCGAGAAGCGACCTTCTTATCGACAGAGCCGTGAGCGGTCATGCCTCTTAGCAGTTGTTCCTATGTGCAACAGCCTTCACGAGCAGACGCACTACAGTAGTCTCATGACCCCATCCCGCCGTAGTTCTGTCTATGTTCTTCCGTAACATCGTGCGAATCAGCCATCTGTTCGGAAACTCGCGCGCAACGTCAATTCACGATTCACATCTATACTGCCGCCAAATAATAAAAAAAACATCACCTCCCCCCGAGCGTAGCGTGTGTGTCCAAAGAGAGCCCCCATGGCCTTTACTTACAGCACGGACACACCACACTTTATAACAGTAATGGTTAGCGTGCATTTACGTCAGGGCCTCCATTCAAACGGAGTGTAGCACCGGCCGACCAAATCCGCAGACTATTCTACATCCTTCGAAAGAAGTGCCACCGTATGAAAGTCGTGGTACCCGACGCATGTCTATATCGATTAACAGGCGGCACCAACCATAGGCAGGCATGTACATGTCCTAATCAGGTACGCACCAACCGTAGGCATGTACAGTGTGCACGTGTCTTTAAGAGGTGTACCATGACGGAGTCACCGTGAAAGGGCACCTCATGCGGTCGGTACAACCCAGCATTATAGTCTCCCCGCCCGGGGCTCTGCTTCGTCATCGTCGTCGTCGTCGTGTTCTTCTGCAAATCGGAGATCTCCACTTCGGAGATCTGTACATCGGATATTCGACCACTTCAGACCCGTAAGTCACGGCCGCACATTGATGCAACCATCCAAGAACCTTGGCCAGCCGTTTACTTCATCCAGAGAGCGAGCGATTCCACTCCTCATATCTTGAGAGAAGAGAAGAGAAGGAACAGGAAAAAAAAAAAAACGGTCGATCAGACATAGAAGGGAGCGTTTCGAGGGGGGAGACAAGTGCAAGGAAATAAGGTACAAGGGGAACCGCGATTGATTGAGATATTGGGTACAGGGGGAGGGGCAAAGGTGGAGAGCGTATAGCCTCGTGCTAGAGACTTACAAAACTACAGCAAGAAACAAAAGAATTATGTGCCTACGAAACAACAAAAAGCCGTGTGGCAATATATAGGTACAACAACCCGAACATTTGCCAACGTTTCAAACACCCGGTCTTCCGCTTGGCAGCCAGCGCTCTCACCGTTCCACGGTTTTCCGTGACACCGATGGAAGAACTTTCGGAAGAGCGGCTCGAAAGTCGTCCAAGTTGATCCCGCGCACGTCCTTCACGGCAACCGTACGCACCCTCGTCCCTAAATCTGCTCAAAGGGCGCCGAATCACCCCCAATAACAACGTGCGCGGGCAGATCAACCAACTAACGAACGGGATATTTTGGAAGCCCCGTGCGTTGCATGCTCTCGCGTTTCTACATTTTTTTGCTCTTGGGAAACACGCCCCTCGCCAGCGAAGATCTAGCTCCTGTTCGCCTTACGATTTTTTTTTTTTAACAGAACCGGGGAGTACGTAGCGCGACGACATTCTTTGATCGATCTCCAATGTGCAACTAATTTTTTTCGGGTCTAAAAGAGAGGAACATTAATCGAATTCTATAGAATACTAGTGAACAATCTTGAAGTGATCGTCAACTCTAACGACCTTGCGCGTGCAAGCGAAACGCCGTCGACACGGCATCTTCGTGCAGAGGGACCCAAAGAAAATATACTGTTGCACGTCTCTGTCGTTTTGGCAAATACAGTACGTTGCAACTGTCGCTGTCACCCTGCGTCCGCGTCAGTTGTACTATTATATAGTACGGACATTAGAAGGTACTGAGCGGAGACCGGAACGGTTTTTAATGTGAAGACAACAACAACAACAACTTCAACCCTGACGATCAATCAAGCCACGTTTTGCTCGAAGGCAACCTGTGAGATTCTGCATGGTGGTTTATGATTTGTGAGGGGGGCGTGGTACATGGTATGGCGTCTGCTGCCACGTTCTTCTTCTGTCGATGCGCATCGGGGGTGTGTGCTCGATCGAAGAGTTTCGATTTACGATAGGTTCTAGGGGATTGATTGTCGTAAAAGTTCTCATACTGGGACAGCATCCTTGTCAGGACACTCAAAACTCTGCTAAACCTGGATTCCTCTTAAAATCGGCCTCTCTCAAACAGTACCAGCCTCTACCAAATACGAAAGAGATGTTCACACGTCGGCAAACGACACTCACCTCTTATTGGCTGCATGGCGGCCTCTTTGCACAGCTGCTTGAGATCGCTTCCGGAGTAACCCTCGGTCATGCCCACCAGTGACGCGAGGGCAGCCCTGCGACAGAAGATAGAGCCGTTCAAGCAACGCGGAAGACGTGAACAATAGCAGCAGCAGCAACAACAACAACAGCTATACCAGCATCGACACCGAGTTCAAGTATAAGAGCGATACAAAACAATGACAGTAAGAGCAGCAGCAGCAGCAGCAGCCAATACCATCCATTATGATCATAAAACAGCAGCAAGCAAGAGTACAAGTACCAGCTAGCATCATCATCAAGCAGCAGCAACAACAGCAAAGGCCACGTAGCAGGAATCACCTTCATCATCATCGCCGGCAACAGCAGCAGCAACGATAACCCAACCTATCCCCACCATTACACACAATGACGAGCGGCTACAACCCCAACCCCAACAGAGAGCAGCAAAGGCAGGGGAAACACCACCGTCATCTTAAGGAACAGCAACAACAACAACAACAACCCCACGCACCCCTTGATGTTTCCCTTTTGCTGGCCTAGGAGGCCAGATATGAGAGCTTTTCTCGCCGGAGGGTCTGGCAAGGGAACATAAACACGCCGCGACAGTCTCCGGAGGGCCGCCTCGTCTAATTCCTGGCGGGGGGCGCGCGGGAGGTTCCACACGCGAGGGTGCAAAGGGGGGGGGGACACGGTAGATCTTCATCCGTCCGTCGCTACTAAATTGCACCAATGGAAGGACAAAAATAGATTTCTCCAGAGCAAGGGTAACAGAGACAAAACCAGCAAGAACCGCAGGGACGAAGGTGATGAAGCTTTTATAGTTTATAGTGGACAAGCGGATAGAGAGCAAGTGACCCACTGCAGGGTAACGATGCTAGCAAAGGAGCGCAGAATACGTAGAAGGTTTCGGCAAGCGGTGGTGGCTTCGAATCCGGAGGGTGGACCCCGTCGTCCAATCCCCTCCGCGGCCCCCCTGCCTGGGGAAGCCCAATGACAATAAAAAGTGTGATCGCGTTTTTTATCCCGCTTCAAGACTGAAGTATTTTCGTTGGTTGCCTGATTGGCGCGGTCGATGCTAATCCTAAAGAAACGCACACACACACAAAGACGGCACACTTGTTGTCCCGCTTAAGACTGACGTCGTTCCCTTGGCCGGCCGGGTAGCGCGGCCGATGTAAGCTAAAAAACAAACGCACAAACACAACACCGATCGTAACTAGCTACATAGGCACCACAACAGTGCCACAGCCGTACCGGGCACCGTACCGGAACCCCTCACACCGCACCATATACCTGAGGGAGGTTCGTGGCTGCGAGCACCAGGAGCCGGTCATCCCCCCCCTGCCCGGCGCCGTCCAACTGCACCAGGAACTCCGTCTTCAATCGCCGGCTGGCCTCGTGCTCCCCCTCTCCTCTAGCCGACAACACCGAATCGATCTGGGAAGGCAGCGGTGGGGGCGGTTTGGAAGGGACGGGGGACCGTTGGAAGCAGCGGCGAGGCTTTAGGAGGGACGGACGGTTCGATGGCGGGGTACGTCTGCTGGTGATGTTGATCGTCCCACCTTCGCGTGTCGAGTGGAGACTGCTCGATCCTTATACAGAAGGCAGCACAACTTACGAACCCCTTATTTTGCCGCGAGACTCGTTTCTTATGCCCTCTGTGGGATAGCTCCTACATTGCCCTCCTGAGACAAATGGTAAGTGTTATTAGGAAATAGAACAGGGAGGGGGGACGCAGACCCTATTCTCTCAACCAACTTCCCCGATTGCATGACTTATCCAACATGTTTACTAAGTAGAACAACCCTGCGAAAGTTACTGCCTAGCAGCGGCTAGGTAAGATTTCAACTGGGCACCCGTGTCCTTACTGTGGTGTCTACAGTTCTTGGATTTGTCGTATTTCTGAGGCTGGATGTCTAGCCTTATGTCTTGTAAGATCCCGCCCTTGATTCCGCGAGACCAACACTCCGGGCGAAGGTAAAGTAGTAAACAGAAAAAAAAAAGCTCGAATCATATCCCCACCGTTTCGATCAAATGACACCAATCTCGCTGCCACTTGATCAACGCTCGAAGTAAAGGAAACTTAATCACATGAGGTTCGCACCGGTTCGTTGATACCAATCCCCGGAAAACAAACGCCGCAAGTCCTCTTGAACAGCTAGAAAACTGCGTGCCACCTTTGCCTTTTCTCGTAAACCGCGCGCCGCAATCACCCAAATCCAAGCCTTTCCAAGTCTGTTGGTTCACACCTCGTCGATGCAAAAAACCGCCGGCCGTCGCCAGCAATCATCTCTACACATCGCCCCAAACCAAGCCCAGCAAACGTCAATTTCTTCACACCTCCTGCATGAAAACAGCGGCCCGCGGTCGCCAGCAATCATCTCGACGAATCACCCCAACCCGGTTTCAGAAAATATGCAATACACACAATCAAAGAAACACTACCCATTGGAGAAAGTATCACAGTTGTTCACACCTCGTCGATGAAAACAACGGCCGGCTCCCTTTCCCTGGCCACGGCGAAGAGAGCCCGGACCATCTTCTCCCCCTCGCCAACGTACTTCGAGGTGAGCGACGAGGCCGAGATGTTGAAGAAGGCGTACCCGCTCTCGGTCGCCACCGCCTTCGCCAGCATCGTCTTGCCGGTGCCTATTGCGATCGTAGGCATGGGGGTAAGGATAGATGAGGGGCTTGAGTCGTGGTCAGAGCATGGTCTTGGTCAACATGTTGCTAGAAAGACCTGATGCCGGATGGCGCAGAAGAAATGCATGTAATACTCCGTTCATTCATTCAACGAGAGATGCCCGTCCCTCTTGTGATCGCAGGCATGGGAGTGAGGATGGATGAGTGGTGTTGACCAACGTGGGGCTTGAATCATTCTGAATCGGGGTGACGCAGATGGATCGCTCTACGGTGCGCATGCATGCACGCCTCCCTTCCTGTTTTCAACGAGAAAAGGATTCGGCAAACCTTCTAGGAAGAGTTGCTCTGCGGTGCATGCCTGTACGCCTCCCTTCATTTTTTCCAACAAGAGAAGGATTCGGCAAATTATCAGAAGAATTTTTGTGGTGCATGAATGTACGCCTCCCTTCATTTTTCAACGAGAGAAGGATTCGGCAAAATTAGCGGAAGAATTTCTCTCTGGTGTATGAATGTACGCCTCCCTTCATTTTTTCCAACAAGAGAAGGATTCGGCAAATTAGTTAAGTAATTTCTCTGTGGTGCATGAATGTACGCCTCCCTTCGTTTTTTCAATGAGAGAAGGATTCGGCAAGCTCTGCTTAACTCGGGCGCTTCCCCTGTCGGTAGATTATTAAACGTGTGTGCGTTTCTTATCCCGCTACGATCGACGTCTTTTCATTGGTCAGCCGGCAAGTGCGGTCGATGCTAACTAAAAAAAAACACACACATACACACGGGGTCCCAGATCATGGCCTTCAGAAGCACTTCATGTCTTCAATCGCACTGAGACTGACGTCTTTCCATTGGTCAGCCGCCTAGCGCGTCAATGCAAAAAACACACACACACACAAAAAAGTAGGAAATAAGTTCGTAGCCGCCCGCTTTTCTTACCCGGGGGCCCATAGAGCAACACGCCCCTAGCGGGTGCTCTGAGTCCGGTGAAGAGGTCTGGTCGGAGGTTTGGCAGTATAACGGTCTCCTGCAACGTCTGCTTCGCGTACTCCAGGCCCGCGATTGAGTCCCACGTTACCCCTGGCGAGCTGAGGAAGGGACATCAACGAAAGTACCAACGACAAGGCCTGGTATGAACGAGGTTCGAAAAAATATAAAAGCAATACATATCAAACTTTGATTGGTCCAAGACCAATAATGAAACGATGTCTGGGTTTGCAGCAGAAGTCAATCTCAAAGCTTTCCTGGCTGCGAACCAACAGCTCGTCAGAGGTCGTTTCATTAAAAACAACCAACAGCAATCAAACATCGCTATTGCGCCGCCTAACAGCACAACCAACAACAAGCAGGGGGGCGTGCAGGCCGAAACTCCGGGTGGGCACTCGTATGTACGAGAGCAACAACGGAGGTGTCGGGAAGGTTTAACGTTGTTACCCACACAGTGGTTAAGGTTGAACTCCGACAGGTCATCATTCGACACGTCACGATCTGTTAGACCTTCTCCGAGATAACATTAATTCATAGCACTTCTTTCACTCATTCAATCGCGGGCACGGTGGAGGAACCTCAATAACGCCGGTTGATTACATGGTGCCGGTGGCCCGGTATAGCAACGGCAAAAAAGAAATGGGTACAGACTGAATCACGGAGTCATTCCGTACTCTGAAAAGTGCCGGTAGATTCGCCTGGCATATTCCGGCGTTGTTGAGGCCCCCCAACGGTATTGCTCTCTTGTAACGGCTACCAACCTCTTCGTGTAGCAATGCGCAATTTTTTTGCTTCAAGGAACACCTGTCCCCTATAAATCAAGCACCTAAAATGCAAAAGGCGAAAAAGGAACACACCACTGACAATACAGCCTTTTCTCCTTTGGACCGGGGGCAGAAAATCATGAACACACCAAGCGACCTGTCAGCTTTGCACAGGCACGGATTTACAGGCAGCGCTTCAAGCTGGCCTCAACAAAAGCCATGAGATTGAAATCGCACCGCTATCCACCTCCTCCATGTATTGTGGTCCCTACTGGCATCAGCGAAGGCCTGACAATCATCAAGGCTACCGCAACAACATTTCCAAACCCAAGCAATCAAGCAGACACCCTCCGGTTTTTTAGTCCCACCTGTCAAGCATATCCTCCAGAATCTTGTTTTCTAGCTCGGAGTTCTCCGATTTTTCTCGCCGACCTCCCCCCCGAGCGCCACCGCCCCCTGTCCCCGCCGCTGCCGAACCGGCATCTATTCCACCGCGGCCTCTTCCTGCTCCGCCTCTGGTAGATGCGCCGCGGCCCGAACTGGCACCTATTCCGCCTCCGCCTCTTCCTGCTCCACCTTTGGTGTACGCGGAAGATGTGCCGCGGCCCGAAGCGGCACCTATTCCACCGCCGCCTCTTCTTGCTCCGCCTCTCGTGTACGCGGAAGATTTGCCGCCGCCTGACGACCGCGGAGCGTGGTTTTCCCCGTCAGGGGAACCTGCATCAATGCTGCCGCCCTTTGGTAGACACGCAAGGATTTATTGAGATAACGAAGGGAACGATCAACCGGTTGAACAGGGTCCCGGGAGAGGGACGGAGGGAGAGATAAGCTCTAAATCATGGACCGAAACAAGGAGGACTTGCCCAAAGAAAACACACGTGACAACCAGGCACTCCAATCGGAGTTCTAAAATAAAAAATAGGATTGCGCATATGCACCGTTGTTATTTCAACATGGCTTGCACTGCGACAATGTATTGGCGGTGGACACCCGCCGCCCGAAGCGTTCTGACAAAGAACACGACCGAAACATCCGCACCGACGCATCCCCGGAAAAATCGCCTCTCCCAAGGCGGGGGGACAGGGGTCGCCCTGGAGGCTTTGACAGAAAATTCACGGTTGTGGCCTTTAACCTGTCCTCGGTATCATGCACGGCCGCGTTGACCGTCTGACCTCAAGCCTGCGATCCCCTCGCAGCCCCCTAGTTTTGAATCACGAACACCTTCGGCTGGGTTTAGCAAGACCGAGACCCGCCGGGAACTGCAGCCTGAAGTCCGGGCGGGGACACACACTTCTCCGAGCGACGGCAAACTCTCCGTCGCCGGTCCAAACAAAAAAAATGGATATACGGACTGCGTGTCCATCCTCTCTGTGATCTGCCTGCTGAAACACCCCTCCCCGAAAGCTTTCGGGCGACCAAGCCTCCCTCTCACCCGAAGGCCGCCCCTGACATCTGCTGCCGTAGGCTTTGGTCTCAACAACGCCGCCTTCCCTTTGCCGCTGTCTCTCCTCCCCGTGGAGGCGGGACGAGTGGGAGAAGGCGACTGGGGCGGACCCAGCGCCAGCTTGATGTGTTCGGCTCTCGACATGTGCACTCTGGCCTCATTGATCAGCGTCTGTCGCCGCTGCTCCCCAGGCTCCTGCCGGGCTCCCTGCAGCAGGAGGTCTATCCCGCTCTCGTAGAGCGTGAACGCCTCTGGGTCAAGTCGGGGCGAGTTCAGCACACGTGGAATGTATTTAGCTGTGAAGGACTCCGTCGCCTACGAAGGTTTTTATTATTAAGCAAAACATATTGGATGAAGTATAGAATCGGAGGAATTTCGGGGGTTGCAGTTAGGGTTAGGGTCTGTGTAAACCCTGCCTCTGTATTTCACAGATAACCTTCATTTCTTCGCGCAGGCAGCCCGTAGCACTCTACAGGTGAAGCCAGCTAGCAGTACCCGCCCCCGCTCCCCTTCACAGCAGTAAAATTAAGAATGGCCTCTGTTATAGAGCGGCATTCAGAGCTGAGGGTCTCATACATTTTCAAGATCTCAGCCTTTGATCTATTCATGCACTTTTTGTAGTTTATGAATACGACCCTTCTGATTGTTTGATTTTGGATTCAACAAAAGATAGTCGTGGGGTCAAGGGTGCACGAATATTTCGGGGGGGGGGAGGGGGGCGGTAGTCTAATTCCTTCATAAAGCACAGGGGCCCCGCCCGGGGGAACCTGGTTTCGTCGGGCACCCTCTCTTGGGACCCCCCCGAAGCAACAATTACACAAGACGGGTACGTAGCACGCCTAGAGGGCACTTAACCCGCTCAAAGTATAAACATGCGTGAAGTAGGGTAGGTGGTACAGTCAACAACCACCCACGCTGGGACGAGCCCCAAGTGTACACAACTAACATAGACTAAATACACGCCTCGGAGAATGCCCTTGTGGTAAAATGTAGTACGAAACGATCGCCCCCCCACGCCTAATGCTAACATGAGTGGTGCAACAGGTGTCGTAGAGCAGGCACGACTCACACACGATGATACTTCGAAGTACCATTCCAATTGTTTCATTCGCTGTCAACGGCACAAGGATTTGAATAGAGCAGCTCGACATGATGGGCAGGCCGCGCGGGGAATTTGGCAAGAAACCGTTGGCGGGATAAAAGAGACAGCCACAAGAGCAACACTTCGACGTTCGTATACGACCGTGTCTCTGGAGCAGAATAACCGGCAGTACAGCCGATGCATGTGGCAGAACAAGTCGATTGCTTGGTGATCATAGCATGTCGGACACCAACGCTACCAACTGCTATGTGCACCGGGCTACGCTGCGACACTGCTGCTGCTGCTGCTACGATACACCCAGTTGCGGACGCTTCACCTTCAAGCTGCCCTTGCTTGTCCATCGATGTCGCTCTCTCGAGCGTTGCGATCCCGCTGTCGATCAACGCATCGTTCCCCGCCGCGGCTGAAGCAGCACCAGCGCCCCTCCTAGGCCCAGTGCTGTTCATTTCGCAAGAACGCTCTGTCTCCCCGACAGGAACCAGGCAACCAGTATTGATGGGCCAGTTGTGCCGCAGTACTTGTAGTTGTGCCGGCAGCGCTCGTGCGCTCGCTCTCGTAGAGATTTTTTTTCATACAAGCTAATGAGGTAACTCCCTCCACTTGGGCCCAAGAGGTACACCCTACCCAACGGAAGCAATCTCGCTCTCTCGCTCTCCCTCTGTCTCGGCGACGAGCCAACTCCTCCTGTACTGTGTGGAGACGGGGGGGGCTCGCGGAGTATATTTTGAAGTGCCGTGATATTCACGGTGCCCCCAGGTTCATGATCGATGTCGACGACATGACGATCCACACATGACCCATACATGCCATGTACATATGCACAGCAAATCATGCAATCGGGGTCGTGTTAGCCCGCTATACATTGCGCGTCCTGATGGGAAGCGCGATGAATGGTCAGCTGGGCGCCATATCGGTCCTGGCGGAGATCGCGCTCTACTACTGCTCAATGTCGAGGCGGGCTAAAATAAGCTCAGCACAAGAACTCTGCAATCCCGCCATGATCAAACCCAGTTGTTGCAGGAAGAGGGGGGACTCCTCCCTGCCTCGCAGACGGCTGTATTTCTCGAAGCACGGGCGGCCATATTGATGGTGCTGAATCTCTCCCAGGGTTGCCTGAAAAATTTGCGCTCCAGCGTGCCTGGACGGGAATCGCCGTCGGATGTCTTTTAGGGATTGGATCTGGTGCATGTTTCGTCACAGATCCGTTGTCTAGTGGATTCAAATCTGGGGCAGAGGAGTGACGACGTTTTTTTGACGAGAGATGCGGCAATGGTTTGCATACCGTATACGACACAAGATAACACACACCCTACACCGATTGTCAACGCTCGTTTTCGGAGAGCTCTCGACCAGGCGGCTTTCTGCTACTGTTAATAAAATCGAGCTTTGAAGATCGGTCCAGGGGGTGTGTTATCTTGTGTCGTATACGGTATGGTATTACTAGTCTCCCCTCCATTTGCTGACGAAAATTGATCGATCAGAAACGCGTGACGTCCATGCTACCCTGAAATCGCAGCATCAGAGATGCATGTTCAACGGCGCAAGTCCAGGTGGCTTTCGGGGAAAACAACAAGAACGGGCAGTTCGAACTAGTGTACTGTGTTGCCGTTCTTCCGGTCTTACTTCTGCGCCCCACCCGGCGTCCGCAACATCTCAGTCTGAACCACAATAGAGACAATAAGAGTATTTCAGTAGAGATATTTACCCTTGGTTGCGCTGAGAAGAACTGAAAACCAAAAACAGCACCATCACTCACATGGCGAACTTCGGTGCATTCGTGTTTATTTTCAAGGGTTCGGGGATTAGCCTATTATCATCTCCAAGGACATTAGCTGCCGCCAGCCTTGACGAGAGCAATAAAAAATGTTCACATTGCACACATACGAAGAGGGCGGTGGCTCAAATTTGCGACAAAACTCCGCGTTTCCGGGCATCCCATTCGTTCTGCCTCCGCAACTGCTGAGCCAAAGCTTCGACTCCCCAAGCTTGCGCCCTGGCTTGGTGCAGCCTTTGGGCGGTCTTCCAACAGTAGCGGAAGCTATCCGTCTGCAGCTTCTTCAGGTCGTACACATTGGCAACGTAGACTTCCGCCGTTCCCCCAGAAGCAGCAGCAGAGATGATATAGGCGGGTTTTCTCGGACCTATGGTAGCTACACGAGATGACCCAGCCCTATCCGTTGCGGCGTCGGCGGAAGGGGGGCTCGCGTCTCCAGTATCCCAGTCTGGAGTACTAGCGCCATGATCGGTGGTGTCACCAGGAGTCTCGGTTGGCTGCGAGAGATGTTGTGCGTCCTCTTGGCTGCTCGCTATCGCCGGTAGCGCGACAGTTTCCGTCGCAGCCGGAGGGGGCGTCGTCGAGAACGCCGACGACGTGTCCAAGTGCTTCAGCATACCGTTCTCTCCCAGCATGTCCTTGGGCCCGATCTCTCCAAGGTCGAAGTGCTTCAGCCGAGTCTCGACGTCTGCCGAGCTGGATCTGCGCGCAGAGGCTGCCCCGGCGGCGGCCGTCGAGGCATATGGAGGAGGTGCAGAGCGGCTGTCGTCATCTTCTTCCGGGAGGAACGCCTTGAGGATCCGAAGGAACCCCCGCTTCACGACGTAGACGTGATCGACGCGAGAGCCCTCCTTACAGATGACCTGGTTGTCGTGCAGGGTGACCGTCGTGAACAGCGTCTCCACGGTGTTGAGGTCGTCGTCGTTGAGAGTGGAGAACACGGCGCTACACTTCAGGAACGCCTGGCGATTGTTTGACGGCAAAGCCGAAGGGGGGCGTTTTGTATCGGGGATTGTTTGAGGCACCGCGGGATTCGGTGCGGAAACGGCGTGTAATACGGAAATGTGTTTTTTTTATTACTGAAGCATCGGCCGTCTTCTGTCATTATTGAGGCTGCACATCGCAGGCTGTAGGTTCAAGAAGACGAAGCTTCCGGCTTTCGTGTCCGAAGACGTGTTGGGGCAAGAGGTACACGTGATACCCCAACGCCCCACAGGATACAGAACGACGCTTCCCCTTCTCTCTGACAGGTTACCTTCTTTGCGACACGCTCGGCGCAGACTGAATCGTTCACGACCGCCGCGAAACTGTCCGATCCCAAACAGAGCACGGTCGTGTAGGCTTCGCACCTCGCTGTCAGCATCCCTACGATGGGCTCGATGCTCCCAATCACCTGCTTTCCAAGCGGTGGCCAGTTACACGGCATCGTTGGCCGGCGCTCATGCGAAGAATTGTGTACAGAGGTCGAAACCCTGTTTTAATCAGAACCAAAGCAGGAACCCGGAGCGGCCCGAAAGTCGGAAACCCTTGAGCTAGGCGCCGCAATACCATAGAAAGAGAAAAAACTACTGTACGAACGCCAAGGTTGCTCGTGCAAGCCTACTAGAGTTGGCCGGGTAGGGGGTACGCACGTTGGAACAGTCCATTTCCGGCGTAGGTAGTCCCAAGGCGTTATCTCGCTAGCCCCGGATACAGAAGGTTTTCCAGGATCTTTTAATGCATCTTTGATATGACGCAGCAAGCACCAGTTTGACTTGCAAACGTGTCATCTGTGTGTCGGACATGCACTTGAGGTCCAGTATTTAATGAAGAATCGCACTTCCTGCCGTGTACCGTACGTCCTTGCCTCGCCAACGTTGCAGGTCCCGGCTTGAAACAAAACCCCGCTGTGCTTGGACGTGAGGTGCACCCTTCCTCGGAGAATGACGCAGATCTGCGCGCCAAGAGAGCATGGTTTTTGGATCAAACACAGACATTTCTCACCAAGAAGCCCGAAATACTGTTGTCGACATGGACGACAGAGCCTTTGAGGTATAGAAGTCGAAACCAACCATTTGAAGTCAGCTCTGGCTACTGTAGTGCTGGTTTGGTTTCGGCTTCTTATACTCTCGCGTTTATGGCGCTTCATGAAGGTGGAAGAGAGAACCCACACGCTCAAGACCGCAATCACGGGGACGTCGCCCCTCAAGCAGGTAGATTGTGGAATGTCGAAGAAAAACGAACCCTCACGCTCCCCTCCCCCGCAAAGGAAACATAACTCGACTCCAACACTCTGTTCATTTTGGGATTTCTCGTTCGCCGCAGCCATTGTCGTCTCGGCCGGTGACCCCGGTTTCTCGAGTGCCCGCTTGGGCCCGGAATGGGCCCCGGTCTCTCGATTACCCGCAGGGGCTCGAAGTGATCGCTCGCAGAGAATCTACGCAGAAATCTCCGAGTGATGACCGTACAAATACGCGTCGAAGAGAGAGCAGTCTACATTCCAGGAGGATGTCGTCCCTCCCGAGTCCCCACGAGGAACGCCACCACCAAGTTTCTTGTCAAACCTGGAAACTCTCACCTTGTCTTGGTGTTCCCATTGCCGGAATATGGTGCTCCCTGCAGCGAAGTGCCTTAACTGGAATTCACGGAATAGCTGCTTCTTGTAGATGGAGTCGAGACTGGTCACCTCGGGAACGGAGTTGAACATATCGAACACGATGGCAACCTCCTCAGGGCTGGCCATCGTCGCTTCGTCTGAAGAGGACCCCGGAGTGTCTAGATCGGCCTCACCGCTCGTTGTTGTCGCGTCAGATTCGCGAATGTGTCGCTCTGCGATGTCGATGCACGAGCGACACCGGTTGGGTAACATTTCGACGCCGATATTGTCGATCCTGTACTTTGATGTTTTCTTTATCACCATCCCGTGCCAGAAGGTCATCTTGCGGTCCTTGAACCGCTCTGTATCGAGAATCGACTCGACCGCACGGGTGCCCCGGAGTACCTGGGTGTATGTCGGGTTCGTTTGGAAGGGCGCATCGAGTCAAGCAAGCCATACGCTACGTACATGTAGGCAAGTTCGCAAGTTCGTTTTTTGCGAAGCCTACCTCGGTCATCGCTTGCTGCCAATGTCTCCTCGCTTTTGCAGAACCATCTCCGTCTCCGTAGGCTGTGATCGACCTCGAGTCTAACGTGCTTCCTGCCCCACCACGAGATATTTTCTTCATGTTATTGTGGTGGAGTCGATGGAGTCTCCATTGCTGAGCTTTGTGGAGATTGTCCACCGGAGTCCGTGAGTGAGGTGGTGTTGGTCTGCAGAGAGTTGCCTTGCGGAGGGCGAAGCTCTGACGGTGGGTATCCCCCCCAGTGTTCCTGCGAACGGTAGGTGCCCGTGGTGCTGCACGGCTGACTTGTTTGGTCGGGAAATCCGCGGCATCGCCGGCGGATGGGACGCGGTTGCCTAGCATTTCGTTTCACCACAAGTGTAATGGTGGGGATGCGGTTGGTGTTGTTTTCAACACTAATACCAGCCGTTTCTGTCGCCCCGCTTCAACTCACACGACCGAGCTTGTTCTAAGCACGGTATTGACCTCGTGCGACACATCTTGAATCCAATGGACAATAAGCCACGGGTGTCATTTCGATGGATTAGGTGTCTTGCAAGTCCAACAGCATTCATCAGAGATCTGCGGATAGATCTGCAGCGCACGACTGCGCGGGACTGCTGTTGGATTGTAACGGTGGGAAAAAATGCGGGGTGATTTCCTCGAGAAATTTGAAAAATTGAAAAAAAAAAAAAATGAAACGTAGCTTCGCTCCTCTTCTGCTCGTGCATAGCAGCAAGCAGTCGAGCAACCAGCACGAAGAATGGCGATCAGATGGAGCTCCATTCATTCGGTGAAACCCGCTATGAAAGTCTAGTCTAATTCTACTCGCCAAGTGTCAGATGTTTGAAAATTCGCCCAGTCAACAATGTTTGGGAACCTCACTTGCTTGTTGTGTGGCCTGTTACAAGCGAAAGCATCAATCAAATCTGTCCATAACTCTAGACATGGGATTCTCTGGCTGTCTGTGCGGCATCACAAATGCTTGTGTTTTCTTGTATCGTGTTGTTAGTTCATCGTCGCTCCCCTCGCCTTATGGTGTTGTCTCCTGTATAGTACACGGCCTTGCGAGAAACGTGTGTATGATGTGCCGGTATGTAACACGTGGTCCCACGCTACCTGTGCTTGTGCGCTGTCCTGCGTGTGCTTGCCTCTGTGCCAAGCCCCGTTTCATTCCGAATGAGTTTCTGCTCTCTCTGCTGGTGCGGCTACAGGCAATACCCCAACCTGTATACGATGCGTTAAGCCATGTTTTTTGCCACGGGGATTCTCCCAACAACAAAGCAACACATCACAACATGTCAAGAGACCACCACCACCGCGAGTGATCTTGGGACCACGGGCGGCTTCCGCTCCCTCGAAGCACAGAGAGCAGCCCGTGACTTTCAGAGTAGACAGCGCCGTTAAGGGGGAAAGCGGACGGGTCACAACGTGTTGGGGGGGCCAGAGCACGCACAACCCGGGGCGAGAGACGCCGGACAGAAAAAGCAGCCCACCTCGCCCGAGGCATTATCGTCTTCCTCTTCCACGCTTCAGTATGAACGAGGCGAAGCGTGAGAAACATTCAGGCAGCCAAAAAAGAAGGGTACCTATGTTACCACGATGCCAACAGATGTCCACGTACGTTTTGACATCCGAAACAAACAACTAGCAGCAAAACGAACGCGTCAACATGAACTTCTAAAAAAGCACCCCGCCGCATTTGTCTACCCTGTTATACTACTACATATCACATGTGTCAAAAAGAGAGAGAAGGACAGAACGCGTCACCTTCCACCAATACCTCGAACAGCGCGTGTATAAAATTTCTGTCGAGAGCGCGAACACCCAGACGCCGGGCGCCCAGGGAACCACTTCAACTGCCCTCACGGGGCGACTATTGGCCCTCGAACCCGTCGACCAAGCGATAGAAACCCCCGACACGGGACGGGCGTGCCGAATATATAGCCGACGGTTTTGTACTCCCCGGTGCATTCTGCCCTACACCTCTCTCTTCCGTCAGGGTTGTGGGAGCACGGTGGTCCCTCCCCCCACCCCCGTTCGTTTTAAAGCGCTCGCCGCGATGAGCAATCGGGGACGTAGCAGGGGTCCAAGTCAATCCAGAGCCGTGTTCCCGCCCAATCTATGCGGGTGAGGAACCCGACTCTCCTGATCGATTGCTGTTACTTCTTGTGACATTCCCGCAGCGGTACTTGCATTCCATCTAATCAAAAAGTAAAACCAACAACGGACAAATACACTTTCAAAAGGCAACATCTCCGGCGCATCAAGTCACTCCCTGCAGCTTCTAGAACTAATTTCCCTTGCATCGTTCTTCTGATCGCCAACTCCGCACAAAAAATGAACACTGCTCACCCGCCGGGCAGAAAGAAGGAAGGGATCGAAAATCGAATATACATGTCTAAAAAGGCGCTTGTTTCTCGTACGACGGTAGCGCAGTCGCCGCACCACCCAGCCCCCTCCCTGCCGTGTCTTGTGTGCAGCCGACACTCTCAATCGGCCAGCTTTTTCCACGTCTCTCCCGCCAACAGCTTCATCCAACATTTTTTTTCCTGGTGATGCACCTGCGATGGACCCACTAATTCTCCCACCATTTTTCACCCCTTTCGGCAGGTCCGGGAGACCCCGGCCATGGAGCGAGTCCATCAGCGCTGCGGCAATGAGCGCCGGTTAGGTCCAGTCGAAATGCCCCCGTCCCCAGCTCTAGGCCTCGCCCCCGCGGCAGTCGAAGTTGGCGTTATCGTGATCCCCGCCCCGTCGTCGGAAGACAAGTCCAGCCGCAGGTCCCCCCTCTGCACCGAGTCTTCCAGGGCTTGGCCGAACGACCGTAGAACGTCTTCGGTGAGCTGCCGAAGAAGCACATCGAAAGCAGTCGGGGACTTCGTCGTATCGAACGTGCTCGCTTTTTTTGCATTATCAGTGTCATCTTGGAGAACCCCCCCCGGAGATTTCTTCCATCGACACGCGTCAACGTTTTCTACTCCTCACAAAAGAAAGGTCAACACGTGGGTACCCGTCGTGTTCTTGCCGGCTACCGGTATAGGATCAGTGTTTTGATTTCACGCCGTCCTCTTTTGGCGATACTGCAAGGGGCGACAAAAAAACGTGGAATCTTGTTATTGAAAAAATCCCGAGCTCAAGATTCGTGGACGTTTTCCCATTCTGGAGAATTCTCGGATAAAAATATCCTCCAAAACTACAACGACACAGTGCCCTACCAAGTTGATGGTACTTGCCACGGAACAAACGCTTTTCGAGTAACAAGATTGTGGACCCCCTGGCAAACAAAATATCAACATGCGGACTGAAAAATAAATAACTTGGGAGACATTAATAGCGTAGCCGAAAGCAAATGCGTTCGAAGCACATGTTTCACAAGCATGCAGTGTCACCGCTGCTATTGTCGATTCCCTTGCAACTAAAATATGAAAGTGCGGACAGAGAGATGCCACTTGGAGTTCTTACTGTAGATGAAAACAACTGCCACTGCTGTAGTACATATTTCACAAGGCACGCATCGTCATTGCTGCTAAAGAATTAAGAGTCCCAAGTACCTTGGCGTCTGCTGGTGTGATTATCCGGTTGTACATCCCCTTATCCTGGACCAATTCGAGGGCGACTTGAAACTGCGGGTCCCTGTCTAGCTGCTTCCGAAGCACCATGCTCTCCGGAAGATACCTGCGGCAAAAATTGCCAATGACGGGGGGTGGCAGAAGGCGTGTTTGCGTGCGTCGGGGGGGGGGGGGGGGGGGGGGGGGAGGCGGAACCGGACCCGGGCACCACCAGGGCACGACCCGCAGGGCCA